ACAAAAAAACCAATATGCCACACCTTTCCTGGCCACCGACCGAAGTCTTTCTAAGACCGACTGAAGATAAGCGGCACCAAAGCCGTCTGGCTCTCCAGACTGCGATGGTCCGGCGCAACAGGCATAGCCAACTGCGCCATGCTCTTGCCAAAGAGGCCCTCGCGAAGCCGGTGGCCCACGCTCGACGACGAGGCGCAGCTCAGTCCACCACCACCACCGTAATGCTGTTGCTGCTGAGCAGCTTGTAAATTCATACTGAGATTAAGCGCCGACGACCAAGCGGCCGCCGCGACAACAGCCGCCGACTCGCCCTTGTTGTTGCGCTCCGCCACGCTCCCGTCCTTGCTGCGCTTGGAGAACTCTCTAGAGAGCTTGGTCATGACGGCCTGCTTGGCGCGCTTGAGGGCCGAGGACCGGGCTGCTGCCTCCTCGGCCTCGGCGAGGAGGTCGGCCTCGATGGAGCGCTGGGTTGGCGAAAGGCCGTCGTCGTCGTCGGCTGACTTGTTGGCAGAGGAGCAGTACGAGTCGGGACTCTTCATCAGGGGCCCCAGTGCTGCGGATGGATCGTAAACGGTTGGCAGCAGCATCACGGGTAGCGGGTCGGGGTTCAGGATGGGCACGCTGATGTCCAGCTTGGGCCGCGGCGTCTCGGGCTGATATGCCTCGTCATCCGTGCCAACGACCTCGGGCATGAATGTGAGCTCGGGTACCTCTTCCGAGTGGTGTCGGTGGTGGTGTCGGTGGCGCCGTGGGGAATCCCGGCTGGAAGAATGCCGGTCGCTTGTGTCGTCACTGCGAGAGTGCTTGTGGTGGCTCCGGCTGCTGTGGTGGCGGTGGTTATCGCTGTGGCGCTCGCTGCGCCGCTCCTCATACTTTGGTTTGCATTCGTCTTCATGAGCTTCGTCAACATCATCATGTTTTCTGGACGATCTCCTGCGGATGCGGCGTTTTTTGAGCTTTGTCGTAAACCCCTGGCTAGCCTGTCTCGCTGCCTCGATATCGGAGGCCAAACCGCCGTCATCCGTCCGACCTCCAGCTGAGTTAGGCCGTGAGCCTTGATGTCGCCCTCCTGCTGAATAGGGTCGCGATGCTTCCTGCGCGGCAGCCTTGACCCCGCGAGCCCACTCCTCGACGCCCGCTTCCAGCGTGTCGACGTCGTTGGGGCCTCCAAACACCATGCCTTCCAAGTCGACTTCAAACAGCTCTCTGCTCGCAGCCTCCGCCGCGGCCGACGAGGCTGGGAGCTGTTCATCCTCCACGGAGCTCGCCACGGCCGAGTCAAACGAGTTGGACCTCGAAGTGCTCGGCCTGCTGTCGCTGGCGCCCACAGACCGACGCGACCAGGCTTCGCTTTGCTCGCCTTCAGTCAGCGGGGCGAGCGCCTCGTCCCAGCTGCCGCCCCGTATCAGGGCGACGTTCTCGAAATCAAACTCGCGCACCGTGTGCTTGTGGCTGGCCACGAGACCGCGCAGCTGGCCCACGTTCATGGTCGCATTGCGTACCGCCATGGACCGCAGGCGGGGCATGACCAGCGGCCTCCGGAAGGGTCGTGGCGGCAGCGGTGACATGGGACTGGTGACCTCGTTGAAGAGCTTCTTGGAGTTGAGCGGCGGGGCAAAGAGGGGGTCGCCTGAGAGGGCGATGGGACAAGGGCCCCGGCGCCCGAGCCAAGTGAAGGAAAGCTTGTCGAGCTGCGGCGCAAAGCCCCGGATGTAGTCGTCAATGATCTTGAGATGGTCCAGACCGGGCGACGGACCGTAGAAGTCCCAGGACTCGACAGAGATGTAGAGCTTGCGGATCTGGCGCCATCGGACGGCCGCAGAGGGCAGGGCGCCAAAGCCTGGGGCGTGACGAAGGTACGTGAAGGCTGATGGATGGACCCCCGACAGCGTGAGTTTGGACAGCTTGGTGAGCGGGGCGCGCTCGAGGGATATGCGCAAGCTCATCAGCGCATAGTCGACAACGTCCCGGCGGTACCGCTCCCTAGGGTCCTGTCCGGGCGTCTTGATGGTCAGGTGTCGCATGTTTCTCAGGTGTTGCATGGCATTGATGAACGAGGTGACATTGGTGGCCGAGTGAAAAAGAGGCGGGTACTGTTGTGTTAGGATCTCGCCCAGCTCCGAGTTGCCGTACTTGGGCCTCGTGGACTCGGTTGATGTATGGGGATTGTAAAGGAAGCATATCTCCTCGCCGGATTGGGGATGGATCAGGGGAGGCAGGAAGGTGGCGTGAGAATGGGGGAAGTAGAAGGTGAGGTGCTCGATGTGGTGGCCGATTCTCGACAAGGCCTCGATCCTGGTGGCCTTGGTGAGGCTATTTGCCGTGAAGGTCAGGTGGGTTCGTAGAAAGAGGCGCTTGGTGACCAGGTTGCAGCAGGCGGAGTTGGCCAGCCGAACCGAGCAGATGTCCTGCTTGGGCAGCAGCTCGAAGAGTCTCTCGCGGACAGCCTCATTTTGCCACAGGCAGTAGAATGCTTGCGGGCTAGTTGCCATGGTGCTTGCATGTCGTGAAGGGGAAGGACTTGAGTCGACGAGTGTGAGGGATATGTGGACAATGGCGCCACCAACCAGCGATGACGGTTCGAGGACGACTTTTCAATGTGATGCTTTCAAGAATGAGTTTATTGAAACTGAGAGGATGCCGGTCGGAGCACAATTCAACAACGGCCACACGGACAAGTGAGTCTTGATCAGCAAGGAAAGGGAATATAAAGTGAGGGATGAGTTCGATCTCGCTGGATGAGCGCTGAGGGCACCACCAGGGAGCCACGGACTATGAAGAGACGGTGTGTGCCGGAGAAATCAGGAAAGGGGGAAAACCTCGATCAGGGCATCGACATAAACAGAACGAAAGAGGGATGGGTTATATTGGAGCACTCGATCAACCGTGGAAACCCATGGATAGGTCCGATAGAAGTCCTATTGTTCCCCCTCCCCGACAGCCTCCGCATTTCTGGTGTTCGCCCCTTCCCCCTCTCCTCTACCCTTTGCATTCCTTGCGCGACTTTGCGATGGGGTCATGGGTCGTCCCGTGGTCGTCGCTCCAGACCGTTGAGAGCCGAAAACGAGTGGTGATGGGTGAGTCACTTGCCCCATCCCGTCGTGCAGCACTGCAGCCGTAGTGCAAGTCTCGCATGCAGGGAGCACGAGTGGACTGAAGAGGGCGAAAGAAGTAAAGGAGTGGCCCGTCGCCGCGAGCGCGCCCGACGTGGTGGACCGTGCCGGGCCTCTTGAATGGCCGGACGGCAGACCTCCTGCATGGCACCAATGCGGCCGTCTGCAGCCCGTCGCAGGGCCGACTCCTCCCATCCAGTCGGAGGGCATGAAACAGGAAACATTCTGCAAGAGTCAAGGGAGAGGGGTTGCGGGGAAAGATCAGGGGCAAGCGCTATCGATAAAAAGTGAGGCGGGAGAAGCTGGGTGGAACCGTAGAAGCCGCACCGGGATCCAATCATTTTCGTTTTTTGGGACGTGAAACGCGTCATGATCTCGACGATTGGTTCTTGGCAATCATCCCGCGCGAGACACGCGCGATCGACACACGAAACTGGCGCGCTGTGCATTCCCACTGCCGAAGCCTGCTGATCGCATAAAGACCGTAAGCGCCCCTCGACTTTGCCCTCAGACGACAGGCGAACAATTGTGAAATTCAACATGCAATGCGCTCTCGGGTCCATTTCCGGCCTGTCGATATACGGGAACCGGTCTTGGACTTCAGTCGCCCTCCTCAAGAACTGTGATCACAAGTCAGATGATGACTTCCAGGTTCCTTGCGCATTTTGGTGGTTGCTAGCCAGGTTAAAAATCGCGTGGGTTTGTGGGTTTGTCCAAGCCCACTTTCCACTGCCTTTTCCCACTACCCCCTGATGAGTGTCTCCTGCTGTGGAGAAACCTCTTTCGCCCTCGCTTCCTCACCGCCATTGACAGGCCCAGAACCCATGTACGATGACACCTACCGAAAAGGGAATTGCCCCTGGAAATGGCGCATCCCGACGGTTTGAACGATAATCAGAGGTAAACATCGCGCATCTGATTGGGCACAACAATTGCTTTCGCTGGCTGTGATTGAGCGCAGTTCTGATCATCGCTCTGTCCATACGGATATGGCACTCTGTACCACTCTCTTCTGTCCCCTTGCGGCAACACTACATACTTGTACATCTCCATACTGTGTATATCAAACAAGAGGGAAAGGCGAGAGATCTGGGAGGTTCAACTCCGTCGACGCCGGAAAGCAGGCCGACCCCTCAGCCGAGTCCAGGTCTAGTATCTTCCTCCCCCACCCCTTCGCCGACCGCCATTTCTATTTTCCTGGTAACCCTGCCGCGGCAAGGGAGGAGGGGGCCCCGGAGGGAGCGGCGATTGCGACGCATATCCCGTTCTCCCCTTCCCAACATTGTATTGCTTACTGGGTTGTTGCCTCCCGCCACGAGCCGCCCCTCCCGCATTGTTGTTGCCGGCAAAGCTAATGCGTCCAGCCCGTGCACTGCTATTCTGCACGGGCGGCCGGATGAAGTCTTCGGCATCGTCGTCGTCGCTCCCGTCCTCGAAGAAGATATGCCTTCGGGGTACAATGCTCTTGCCGAGGTCAGGCCGTCCCGAAGAGACGGTCGACCCGGCTGAAGTCACGAAAGCGATGGCCGTCTCAGATGACGCCGGGTCCAGGTACCGGTCGCAGTTGGTTTGACTCCAAGTCTCCCATGGGCTTTCGCCCTTCGTGCTGTGCGGGTTTAGCCCACAGACGGGCCCGTAATGTTCCTCGCGGCCGCAGCAGTAGCAGAATATTGGGAGCGAACGGACCTTGCGAGCAGTGTCGGGGTTGAACAGAAAGCTCCTCCAAAGCTCGTGGCAGGCCGCGTCGGCGTGATCGCGTGATTGACAGAATGCGCACTCCATCTCCTCCCGCGGCAGTGCCAGTTTCTCGGTGCAGCCGTCCATGGTGTGGCCAAGCTGCCTGCATTTTGTGCACCGTCGACGCGTCGGGCAGCTAAATGATCGATGGTCGCGGTCGCTGCAAAAGCGGCACGTCACCTCCAGACAGTCAACCGCGTCGTGGTCGCGCGACGCGCACATGTGGCAGAATGCCTCGCTGGGCCCGACTCCCGGAAAGTATCTTTGTCGGTACTCTGCATCCCCCGCATTAATAAGAACGCCGGCGCTACCATCGTCTGGCCCATCGGAGACGGCGACAATGGGAGAAGGGGCGGCATCCTCCTGCGGCAGTGACGTTGGTTCTGCCGTCTGTGGCGCCCCGGCGGGTGGAGGGTGGGCAAACATCGCGGCCACTACGGCGCTGTGGTCTTGTGCGTAATGGATCGCGGCGCGCCTAGCAGCCGCCATCTTGCTTCTCTTCAATCCGTCAATTGTCCCAACCCATCTCAGATATGACTCGGCCAGCCGATTCCGCTCCCGGGTCGTGTTGGCCTTGATTCTGCCCTCATTGAGCTGGCCAAGTGACTTACACCATGCCAGAAATCGCTCCTCCCAGCCGCGCTCATTTTTCTGGGCGACTTCAAACTGCGAAGCAGGCATAGGCGGTGGCAGGGTCCAGTCAAGTATTTGGTCCTCCTTAGGTGTTGATTTGCCGCTTTCTGGTTGTCCATTGTGTTGTTGCCCGGCCTGAGTACCCCCAAGCTGCCCGCTTTCGTCTGGGGATGTAAGCCACGGTCCTTGCGGGTCATTTTCTTGAGCCTCGGAGAACATGTCGTCGAGTTTCCCAGAGTCGAGATCCGTCTCCTCTGCAGCGCGCTCGCCAGCAGCCCGTCGTGCACGTGGAAGCGAGACACAGGACTCGAGCCACAAACCCCAGGCCTCTCTCAACAGACCTGCATCCTTGAGTCCCTCCTGGTCCTTGTTCAAGGCCATCAGTCGGGCACACCATTTGGTAAATATAGTCTGCCAGATATCGCCAGGGCCGGAGTTCGAGATCCAGTCCACATCTCTGGAGGGCATGACCAAGCTGTCGATGTCTATCGACTCAGCCGGTGGTTGCACGGGCGATTTAGACGCCTGCTGTGATGTCGGCTTGCCCAGTTTGTCCTTGGCAGCGAACGACGTCCGCAGGCCGCTGCTGACGCCGCGATTCCACCCGCTGTGAGCGTTTGGAGGAGCTTGAGCTGCAGGCAGATCCGTCTGTGGTATCGAGGATACCTCGACTTCTTCGGGAGACCCGCGCCCCTTCCGCCTCTTTGGGGATGGAACGTCTGCATTCGCACCAGGCTCCCGTTCCTTCGGGCTGTCCGTAACATCCGTGTCGCCAGGTAACTCGGTTTCCGACACAGGACGTTTCTTTCCATGCGAACGCTGGGGCGATGCTTCACCCTCCGCCGCTGTGGCTGCCTCAAGGCTGAGGGCCTCATCCAGCCTCGTTGGGGTGCTCTCCATGGCCGATAAATGATTTAACCTGATGTCCCAAGTTGCTCTCCTTCCCCCGTAGAGACTGGTCGCAGGTACCGTTCTGAGTATTCCCTGACTTCGCGAGGGACGCAGCCAGACTCTGCAAGAATCTGCCGCTGGCAGACCGGGAAAGTTCCCGCGAAGTTTCGGCTCAACTTCAAGTCTGCGGCAGAGGGCTAGTCATGGGGCTGCGTTGACGCAGGTATTTTTTAGAACAACAGAGGTCGATCACGTAAGCGAATGCAGCAATCAGATAGATGCGCTGACTCTGGCGTGGATTGCAACGGCGGAGGATTCTCAATGCTGGGTCTGCCATCGATTGTTTGTTCCCAGAATTTGCGCGGCCACAGTTCTTGGAATGCTGACGGCCAGAGCAAGCCACAGAACGTGCCTTTTCTGGCACTGTGCACACCGAGTAGCTAGTATGAAGTACGGTATGTAATGATACATCACACGAAGCCTGAACGAGGTAACCTTGCAGGCACGCTACCTTGTATTGAAGCTTGAACGTAAGGTAACGATGAAAGCCGGCGTAAGGCACATAACAGGCCGTCCCCATGGGCAAGAAGGAGGAGACCCACTCGAAATACGACCACCAAGCGCTCCGACACTCGTTAGTGTTCGATGTCCCTTCTTGCTCATCTCCGGCCTTGCGCCAGAGTGGAGGTACGTGGTCCTCATCATTGTGCACCTCGTTTCGGGGCTCTGGCCAGATTGCCATCAATTCTTATCAACTCTGGCAGTCCTCACGAGCGTCCTATTGCCTCTCCCTCCAATAGCCTGCCCAATTCATTTTGCTCCGAGTCCGGACCCTGAAATTGGGAGCCATCGACGTTGCTGCAGCTCCTCGGCTGCCATCCAGAACCGCCCTTTGGTTCCGAACCTGGCAAGGCACCGGCGCCAGCCGTATCCCGTCGTCAGCCGTGTCCCGACACCACCTCCTATCCTCTCACCGTCGCTGTCCGCGTCGCGCATCATTTGCCCTCCAATTGGAGGCGGTCCCGAGGTAGCTGGCCGTCCGACCAAGTCGAGTTCAGTATAGCGAGAATACAGAGTGGCCTCGTGTGACCGGGGAACAGCGGTGACATCATCTCGGTAACCGCGGGAGCCGTGGCCGGGTCGACTATCTTCGTATACCCTCAGAGGCCTGACCACGATCGATTCGCGCTGCAACGTCGATCTTGCGTCTCTCTACGCCCATCCATTATCCGCTCGAGCGTCGCACGTTGCGGCGACAGAAACACCGCCAAACTGTCGTCCCCAATTCTCCTCTCTCGCACCGTCTCCTACGACGCGGGCACGAACCCTCCGCGTCGTGGAGCTACGCACGGCAGTATGACGGACAAGGGTGGTAGGAGGAGGAGATCTAGCAGTATCCTCCAGGTCTACCACGAGCCGCCCGAGCCCATTGAGCAGCTCAGTGACCAGTCTGCTCTGCCCAACCTGAACGCGAATTGGGTCAACGCCAAAGGTACGCTTGGATCTATGCCGTTAGCAGTGCGCCTGCTAGCTGCGGTCCAACACCCATCCCTCTCCGCAATTCAATATCCAGAATTTCCTTCCGGCTGACGGACCTTGTTTATCAGGTGCTTGGACCATCCACCCCGTCCTGATCGTCTGCCTCAAAATTTTTTACGACAGTATTCCGGGCGTTTCCCAGGAAACATCATGGACGCTGACAAACATCACGTACATGTTTGGTTCTTATATAATGTTCCATTATGTCCGTGGGGTCCCATTCGAGTTCAACGGCGGTGCCTACGACAACCTCAACATGTGGGAGCAGATCGATGACGGGGCTCAGTACACTCCCTCCAAGAAGTTTTTGCTCAGCGTTCCCATTGTGCTTTTTCTCCTGAGCACACACTACACGCATTACGACCTGGCGTACTTTACCATCAACTTCCTTGCTGTTTTGGCAGTTATTATTCCGAAACTGCCTTTTGTGAGTAGACCCCAGTTCTGGCAGCCATGTGCTCGTTTGTGAGCTCGTTTCTAATACTCATTACTAGAGTCACCGCATGCGGATAGAGTTATTCTCTGGGAACACTGACGATTAAGTAGTGTAATGGGACACTGGGATGTGCGCTCCGATCGAACAGACAACTTGATTGTCGGGCATGGTTGCGGGCAGGCGATCACGAGCATAAGAGGGTGGCGAAGCGTTCATAAGCATCAGAGGTTGGAGAAGCTATCTTTCTCCTTTGGCAAAGCACACATCTTCACAAGAACAGAAAATCAGACGCTCGAATCCGTTGAATTCAAAGCGCAGCACGATCTCCGCGAAACCAATCTATTTCCATCCAGAAGCCCGGCCGAGTCCAGCACGCTCAAGGGTTTCCCTCCCCTAGGGTGGCGGGTTATTCGCTGATAAGCCAGACGGGCGGCAGGCAAAGTCCATGACGAACAGCATCCACGTCAGTGTTAGATCAGGCCAGGAATGTCGTTGGATGTATAACACGCAAGCTATGCACCGAGCTGAAGCTTCCTCGGAACTTTTCTCCCCGCCAGCTCTCTCCGCACTTTGAGTGACGGCCCAGTGACGCCAGATCGAATCATGACTGAGATCACGACACAATAAGCGAGAGCTTCCTATTCCGCCTTGACCTCCACCAGAAGCTATTTGTACCCCTTCCTCCTCTCCTAAGTTTGACTTCAATGTCTTGAACCATTCCTCCGTCTATCTTTACTCGTTTTCTTGGAAATCGAGCAAATATCTCAGTTATCACCCGTTTCTGTTGTGCCGCTCCCCCGCCTAATAACCGACCAACATGAAGGCCCCGCTCGTTACACTTGGTGCTGCCTTTGCAGCCATGATCTGGGCATTGCCCACGACCCCGGACAAGCGTCTCGTTCCCGACGCTGGAGGCCGTTACGCTCGAGCTGCCGTGGCGGGTCCTGTCCCACCCCTATCGCCTCGCACTCCGTCCTTGGAGGACGATGAGGTGGTGAAGCTCGCTGCCGCCATTGTTGACAAGCGCCAGCGGGACGACGATGACAAGGACAAGGACAAGAAGAAGCACGACGATGAGAAGAAGAAGCACGACGATGAGAAGAAGAAGGACGACGATAAGAAGAAGAAGCACGACGATGAGAAGAAGAAGCAC